CCAAAAGTGAGAAGTATCCCTGTTTTTCAAGGGAGATGACAATCCGTATTTTGATGAATGGTGCATTTTTGTGTTGGAAAGAGCAGCATCTTTTTACAAGGCCCTTCTCTTTCTGTCTTTCATACTGGATATTTCAGGCTTTTCATCTCTTTGTGCAGACTTTTGTGCTCCTTTTCCCCCTCTTTAAAACATGATTTGAGCAGGAAAAATGTGTTGGTTGTGTCTCTTGACTACAAACCAATCTGTGCTGTCGTTCTTCTCTGTTGACTTCAAGAGTTTGCTGCTGGTTGGCAAACTCAATTGGAACAGGTTGGGGAAAAGGAGAAAAACAAAAAGATTATAAACCAGCATTATGTGTACTGGGTTCCAGTACTATGTATCTTTATTGTACATGAAGCATTAATTTAAGTATAGATTTATGTTGTCACTATATTTTGATATTGTGTTTGTCAGTTTTTTTATCCATACGAGATGTGAGTAATGCATTGCTTTAACCTCTGTGAGTGACCACTGATGTGTGCGTGATAAGCCCGCTGAGGGTTGTAGAATGCACTGGATGCTACTATGAATAAAGATGTCAATTTTTTTCTTGTAAGCTCTTTTGTGGTAACTCTGCAGCATTAAGCTCCCCCATCCCTTTTTCTTGTTGTCAAGGCTTTGCTGTAGACGTATGTTGAATGTTGATGGAAAAACAGTGTTCGTTTGTCAGTGTTACAGTTGTAATGCTGTTTCTTACACAATGAAGGTGATGTATATAGAAGGACAGCTCACTGTGTGTCAGACAATTCTCCCAAGTGCTGTTGTGTACAGTCTTGGCCACAGCCAGTGGTTAATGGTGTTATGTCACCCTCTGGTGGTGAAGGGGAACAATACATCATACGGACTAGGCTATCAGGGAGGAGTTGATTACATGAAGACTTGTCATACCTGTGGTAGTTGAGATTTGAGTCCATTTGTATAGGATCTATTAGATTTTATTACTGTTATTTTATTAATATTTTCTTTTGATTTTATTTATTGGCCTCAAAAATATCTGTAGTTGTCCTGTTTTTGTCTGCATTGTTTTCAAATATTTTAAAGATATTTACAGGCTTTATTATATTCTGTTATTTTGTACTAGGTACATGTTTTATAGTAATCAGATCTAATATTCTAATATAGATCTAATATTTTATAATGTTTATAAAAGTTTGTATGCGGAAAAAACTAATATTTGAAGGTACTAGTGCATAATATGAAGTTAATGTATGTCAGTCTACCCTTTTTTTCCTTATTGGAAACTTTCCACAAATGCATACATTCTTTTTTTCTATGTAAATATCATGTCTTTTTCTCCACTCTGTATATTGGTATGTATTTTGATTGTCCGGGCAGATTGTAGAACCTCGTGAGTAGCAGTATGGAGTGAACGAGTAAAAAAGAGGAATTAAAGAATGCCTATGAAATGAAGCGTGTTTGTGTCTGTGTGTGTCGTAACTCTTGTTAGGAAACAGTCATTTTGAATATGCTGAATTTTCATATTAAAAAGATTTGCTAAGTGAATAATATTCTGAGGGTATTAGTTTTAGGTGTAGTATATGTACTGAAGGATAATTTTTTTTAACTCTTAGTGATATCATTCAATAGTTTGGGGTCTGTGATATTTTTAAAAATGATTTTGAAAGAAGTCTGTTATGTTTACCAAGGCTGCATTTATTTGATAAAAAAATAAAACTAATATTTTGTTTTAATAATAATAATAATGTAATAATATTGTTTAATAATAACTAACAAAGTAATAATTTTATTACAACTTAAAACAACTATTTTCTATTGTAATATATTTATATATTAATATATTTTAAAATGTAATCAATTTATTCCTGTGATGACAAAGCTGAATTTTCTGGTTTTGTGCTCATGAAACTTTATTATTATTATTATTATTAATATCAATGTTGAAAACGGTGCTGCTTAATTTTGTGTAAACTTTTACACTTTTTCTTTTTCACGTTTTTTTGATGAATATAAAGTTATTTATTTGGAATTTAAAAAATGCAACAATGTAAAAGTCTTTATTGTCACCCCTGATCAATTTAACTTTCAATCCTCTGTTATAAGCAATGAATATATATAAACAATCAGTGAAAGGTAGGGTCTGATGAGGTAGATCATAAATCTTCATGGTAGGCTTTGCGTTGTACTGTATAGTCTGTGAAGTTCAGCTCTCCAAACAGTCCTCCAAAGATCCTGGCTGACCTGGGTGGTGTTATTGTCGAGTTCAGCTCAACAGTGATGTTGTAATGAATTGTTTGCTTATGTTGAGCTTCCAGCCTGAGATTCAAGCAGTCCATGTAGGATCATCAGGCTGGAATAAAAGGTAGAGCTGTGAGTTTTCTTCATATAGCAGAAGGATGATAGCACCAAGTGATGATGTGTATACTGAGAAGAGGAGGGCACTGCAAAAATGGCAGAACAAGCCGTTTTCTGTTGGTGGCTGATTTAAACGATGTTACAATGAAGAAAACCAGTGATCTGTAATCAATTTATATTGTACTTATGCAGATTTCTGTAGTATACACAATAGATTCATATAAATTATAATAATTGTAGTGATAATGTTTAAAAACATTTAAAATTCATGATGTATTGTACACTTTTGAGGATGGTCCACCTTCAAACGCTTATACGGGAGAACAGAAATGGGCCTCTGTCTCCATCTACTATTTAAAAAAACTATGGTCCGAAAACCAGTCAGAATCTGGTGGCAATGTCATCTGCTGGTGTTGGTCCATTGTGTTTTTTGAAAACCAACGTCACTGCACCCGTTTACCAAGAAAGTTTGGAGCACTTCATGCTTCCTTCTGCTGACCAGCTTTTTGAAGATGCTGATTTCATTTTCCACCTGGCACCTGCCCACACTGCCATAAGCACCAAAAGTTGGTTAAATGACCATGGCCACTATATATATATGTATGTGTGTGTATGTGTGTGTATTATTTAATGTTTATTTTTTTATTTAGTTTATAATTTCAGCGTCCTACACTGCTGTGGTTCTGTAGAGCTGTCACTGTAATATTTGCTGAATGTGATGCAAAGTTCATATTAATGGCAGCCAGCTTTGAATGATATATTAGTCACTTCAGTTGCAAGAAGCTTCAGCCGCTCTGATGTAAGTCACTGGCACTGATTCACGTAAATGCAGTTAAATCAATTCAGCTGTCTCTGGGATTGCTTTAATAGCACTGTGAACTCTCTCTCTCTCTCTCTCTCTCTCTCTCTCTCTCTCTCTCTCTGTGTGTGTGTGTGTGTGTGTGTGTGTGGATACATGAATGTACTTATAACGTTCTATAGCTCAGGCTCAGACGATAGGATTTAGGTATCAATGCAATGATGGGATAGAGTCTAGTCTGTTCTAATCAGTTTCATGACTAGTTTGTACACTTTTTACTTCAGCAAATTTTTATAGAATTGCTTCATTTTTAGAACGTTTCTGATTGTGATATGCATTTATGCTGTGCGGGTGAGTTGGCACAACGGAACATGCTGCTAAACAGCCTATAACAGGCTTTTTTTGAGAGGGTGCTCGCTGCAGAGCCAAATGGGAGGAGCTGGAGCTCTAGCTCCCCCTCGCTGGATGTAATGGGTGGAGCTAGACACCCAACCACTCCCTAACCCTACCCCTTACCCTATCGCTAAACATAACTCCACCCATTAGTTCACACAGAGGTGGAGCTGGACATCCAGAGAGGGGGAGCTGGAGGTCATTTGGCTCTGCAGTGAGCAGTACTTGCTTTTTTTCAGTAATATGAAACAGTTATGAAAGAGAGTGAGAGAGAGTGAAAACAAAAAATGTAACGGGTCATGTACAGAGAGGGGGCGCTGGAGAGCCAGAGGGGGGGAGCTGGAGGTCATTTGGCTCTGCAGTGAGCAGTACTTGCTTTTTTTCAGTAATATGAAACAGTTATGAAAGAGAGTGAGAGAGAGTGAAAACAAAAAATGTAACGGGTCATGTACAAAAATATTGAATGATTAATGATTTAAAACGTGACATTTATCATTTAACAACATTTTGATTAATTCATAACATTTCAACAGAAAACAACAAATATATGAATAACTGAGTATATTATATATATATATATATATATATATAAAGAGAG